TGTGTTCCATAAAATCTGTTGGCATCACCCCATCCTTCTCCCCATCTTAATTCTTTGGTTTTTACTTGTTTGTGTTTTGGATTATTTTCTGCCTTGTATCCCAAGGACTAAAGAATTTCCATTCTTTATGGCTAAATAAAACTCTCTATATAACACATTTTCTTTATCCATGTATGTTTACCCATTTTATCTTTATATTTATTCTTTATCCATTTCTTTATTGTGAATTTTGATACTATAAACATAGGTACACAGGTATTTCCATAGTATGCTGACATTATTTCTTTTGTATAAATAGAAAGGAGTGCCTAATGCTTCATAAAGAAGAATGAAATTATGGCATTTTCTGGTAAATGGATGAAAATGAAGAATATTGTGCTAAGTGAAGTAAGCCAGGCTCTGACAATCAAGAGTTGGATATTTTTTCTCATATGTAGAAGCTAAGCAAAATAAGAGGAATAAATGGGGGTGGGGGAACCAGATATCATAAAGATAAAGGGAAGATTGGTGGAGTAGAAGGAGGAGATCAAGAAGGAGGGAAGAGGGACAGGAAAAGGGAGGAAATGTGTAATGAATTTAATAACAAAAGCACAATACATATCTTTGACAAATAACTTGTACCCAGAATATATAAAGACTTTTCATAATTCAATAAATCTGAGTAAACGTGGGGCAAAAGATTTTAACAGATGCTTAATCAAAGGGGGAAATTCTAGTGGCAAACACGTGAAAATGTGCTGTATATCATTATTCATTAGGAAAATGCAAAAACCGTTGAGAAGCCACTGAACACCTATTAGAATGGCTAAAATGAAAGAACAAATAAATAAATGACAATGCCAAGTGCTGGCAGAGGTCTAGAGCAACTCTCATATATTGGCCATGAGAATGCAACATGACAGCCACTTTGGTGAGTTTGGAAGTTATTTACAAAGTTAATCGCACATTTACCATAAGATACTTCTAGATATTTTTCCAAGAGAATGTCCGCAGAAAGAACTACAGATGCCCCTTGATTTTCTTTTTTCCAGTACTGGAGATGAAACCCAATGTCTTTGCAAATGCTTGACAAGTACTCTAATACTGAGCTATATAACCAATCCTACTCTCTTTAAGTTTTAATGATGTTATATCCTGATCAACTAATATAACTCCAAAATATAACTCCAAATTGCAGTTCATACACCTTACCTACCGAACATCATACCATAGACATGCATAAAAACACTTAGTCTAAAGTTGGGCAAAATCATGTAACTCAAAGCCCATTTTACATATGGTGGCTATGAGGTAGCAATGGTGACTTGTAGCTGCTGATCCACTGCCACTGCCCTCCTAAAAAAAAGTATCATACTTTATATTGTAGCCAGAGAAAACATCAAAATTCAAATATTTGAATACAGTTTTGATTGAATGTAAGTCTCTTTTGTGCCATGGTAAAGTCAAAAAATCAAGTTAAACTATCATAAGTTGGAGACTATGTGGTATATAAAAATGTTTATAGAAGTTTTTTTTAATAATCATACAAAACTCAAAACAATCTGAATGTCCATGAAACCAAAAAAATATATAAATTGAGTTCTAGTCATACAATAGAATACTCCTCAGCAATAAAAAAAGAATGAACAATACTTGCAATGACACATATGAATCTAAATAGCATCAGCCTAAATGAAATAAAGAAGACACAAAACACCATCAACTATATGAATCCAACAACATAGGAAAGGCAGTGTCTGTGAGGGTCTGAGAGTGAGATGAGTGACATGTTTGCAAAGGCCAAGGGAACAAAAAATGGTAATGCAAATATGAATCTTGGTCATAGTAGTTAGGAGATGATATATGTTTGCCAAATCTCAGGAAGCTGTACACCCAAAAAGTATAAATTTTGCTATGTGTAAATAATAACATAACAAATCTATTTTCAAAAAATTAAAAATAATTTTAATTCGTTGAATAGATTTTATAGGTACTACAATGCATTATAAAGCAACCAATAAAAAATAGTAATATAAACATATCTAGCATTTATATTAAAAGCAGGTTTTATATATATTATGCAAAAATATTTATATTTAAATACATATGAGCATACAACACATCATGACCTATATCTGCTTTCTTTTTTTCTTTTTTTTTTCAGGGGTACTTTACCACTGAGCTATACCCACATCCCTTTTTAAATTTATCTGGAGACAGACTTTCACTAAGTTGCCAAGGCTAGCCTCAAACTTTAATCCTCCTGCATCAGCCTCCCAAATCACCAGAATTATAGGCATGTCTACCATTCCTGAAAAGATATACCTGAGAATGTAAACAAGATATGTCTCTGCATGATAGGATAGGATTAGTTATATATGTTCTTATCAGAATTATTTACATTTTAATTGAGCAAGCATTCTAATAATATAAAACATAAAAATATCAAACAACACCAACTTCAAAAACATGAGATTTATTAGGAAAAAGCTATACTATAGATTTTTTCCAAAAGATAGGAAAGGCTGTGTGTGTGTGTGTGTACATGTAAAGTATAACTGGAGAGCTGGAGTACAACTGGAGTGGCAGAGCAAGTGCTTAGCATGCCCAAGGCTATAGATTTAATCCCAAAAATAATTAAACTGAAAATCCGTTGAGGGTAGAGGTCAGGTCTGACTTTATTCATTGTTGAATAATCATTGCATAATGACAGTTTTTAGTAGTTAAAAAATATTTGTTGAAGAAAGAAAAAGATGGAGAAGGGGATTGGGAGAGCTTGCTATTTGCCAGCCATTGATGGAGGGAGAGAGGAAAGGAAACTAGAATCTGAGAAAGGAGGAGCACTGAGGGTGTCCAGGGAGTGAGCTATTGAAATGTCAACACCTGATGCTGAGAACAAGCAGGTGTCAGGGCTTGGGCAGTGCTGGCAAAAAACAGCCAGTGTTTCAAGGGTACAGGAGTGCAGGGAAGGGCTACGCTGGAGGGCAAATGCCTACCCAAAGGAGAAGAGGGCAAAAAGGATCAGGCCTCTAAAGACTGTTGCAGAAAGATGTGTTACTGCAGCACATTAAATCCACTTTCACATTTCGGTTGATGAAGGACATGGGAATGCACAAGTCACTACAGCCCTGGTACCCATACAGGAGTCTGTCACCTGGAAAACAAAAAAGACAAGAAGTAAACAAATATTTATAGAAAGAATCAGTTACTCAGTGAATGAGGAGAAACAGCACATTGCCCTGGAGTGTCAGGTTCCCAGGTGGGAAGGGACACCAGCCACCCTGAGATGACCAAGATAGCTCCTTTAATCCATCCTCCCCTCAACCCCTAACCCTGCCTTCATTTGGTTCTCAAAAGTGCTAGGAGTGGAATTTTGAAGTCTAATCGCTGTCATCCCTGGGTATGTTTTCCTAGAAGACCTATCAACAAGCACTTTTTTTCTCTCTATCTCTTAACAGGTCTGTTGCTCAGGTCAAGAGCCAATGACAGCCTAGTACCAGCACCAGAGAAGCTTTTTCTTACTTTTATGGGGGGGGGGAGATATGCTTCCACACTCTCTGTTCCTGCCTTCAGTGCTCCTGAGAGGGCCACCTCCCTCAAGATCAGTAAAAGAAAAAAAAGAATTTTAAAAAAGTCAGTAAAAGATCGATACCCCAGACATCTCAGTCTCTACCTACCTTCATAGACTTTCCTCAGGAAGCATTCCTGGCTGCCATGAGCCTGACAGGAGCTTTTCTCACTCTTGCAAATCCCTTTAGCATTGAAACGAGGGCACTGGACACACGTCAGAGCTAGAAAGACAAAAGCAGGGGAATGAGGCTGGTCAGAAAAGGCAGCTGAGTCTGTGACCCTGAGGACTGAACAAGGAACAACAGCCATTTCCATATTGAGGGAAGGAGCTGGACTCCTAGGAACTGATGGGGCTTCTGGGAGGAAGACCAAGGCCCCTGATGAAGATGCCTGAGCCTAGCACCTAGTTGGAACTACTCCTTCCCATTCTTTCATTATCTTCCTGTTCCACAAAAGAAATTCCCCCTTCCAAACCAAATCTAGTAATGTCTGACAGAAAGATAGAGGAATTGGGAGTACTAAGAATTAGACTTGAGGCAGGAGGGCATAGGGGTCTAAGGAGAAGGAAGGAGGAGGAAGACCCAAGAACCCCAAGACCAAACAATCTTTGGCCACCAGTGCGTCTACTCATCCAGCTCAGTGCTCCCCAGGGCTCACCTTGCAGGAATCCCCATAACAAGGAGAGGCCCAGCAGTAGCAGCAACAGGTGCTTTCCCATAGTTGTAGGACCCCAGGACCAGAAGGAGCAGAAAGCAGGACAGAGCTGCTGGTGCCCCACCCCAGCAAGTCTGGTTTTTATAACCCCAGGCTGGGAAGGACAGCCAGTGGGAGCCCAGGTCAGGGACAGTTTTCCCTGAGGCAGCATGAGCAGAGAGCCAGGGGCAGGGTGGCGGGTGTCTGTGGGTCAGGGGAGGTGTAAGGGTGTAGCCAAGTCCTACCACCTCTGCTCACCTCCATTGGCCCTCCCCCAGGTACCTTCAGGCTTCTTTCTGACAGATCTCCCACCCCCCCTTTTTTTAAATTAGAGCTTTATAGTTATATAGGATTTCCCCCCCACACTTTCTCTCCCATCCTCCCTCTCCTCTCCCATTCTCCTTCCCTTACTCTACTAGACTTCCTTTTGCTTGTCTATTAATATATTTGATTCATTCTTTAGTATTCTTATCCTTACCTCCCCCTTTCCTTTATTTTACTCTAGTTTCCACATATGAGAGAAAAGATTTAACTTTGAGTTTCTGATTTGGCTAATATTTTCCATTTGGCATGATATTCTCCATTTCAATCCATTTACTAGCAAATGCCATAATAAATGGGAGAATTATGGCTGTGTGACCCAATCACACAAGCTATGGGTGATGATGAGCCTGGTGAGGTGCAGCAGCACACTGCATCATGGTCTTCCATACAGAAGGAAACTATTTGCCTCAACATGGTGAGTCCAGGTAGGTATTAAGTCTCCTTATTTCTTGGAAATGGATGTGCAGCTAAACTATTATTCAGTAAAGCATTAAACCCAAAATAGCAGACTTGGGTTTATCTTCCATGCAATCCCAACCAGAAGAAGTTTCCTATTTGTTTACATACTTGATGAATGGAATTTAAAAACACTAATCTGCAGGAAAAGGTGTGTAGCTTTGGCTTCAGACTACTCCATAGCCCTTGGCACACTCTAGGATCTAAGTCTTCCCTTACTCAAACATGGTACTTCAACAATTAGCCTACCTCTCCCCTCTTCCCCCTATTTCCTTCCCCCCATTTCCCACTGAAATGGGAAACATACTCCACGGAGGTATAAGGTCTAATTATTCCCCAGCCCAGTGCTGAAGTCTCAGAAACCTGTGTCACCTATCCCATCAGAAAATAACATAGGACATGGATTGAGAGAGACTTAGTGTGGAATCTTTGAACAATGTCATTCCATTTGGTTCTTGTACAAGAGACTATGTGGTAGCTATTAACATCTCGTATTAGTGAGAAAACAATCTAGCCAAGGGAACAGAAAGGATGATACAGATTCAAACCCAGTTTCGCAGACCCCACTAACTTTGTTATTATGCCAGTAGAAGTCTTGATGTTTCCCAAGAGCCTCCAATTGTTGTTCAGGAGCCAAAGGTCATCTCTGATCCTAGAGATGCCACCTGTGGCCTCCTTAGAGAAGTTCCCTAATGCGAATCTCACATTGTAAATAAGAATGGACATGTGTCAAAAGAAATAACCTCTGTCATTTGCTGAGAAAATTATTTTAACTAAATGCTTCTTCTTCTGGGACTCCCTTTTGGCCTTAAGCCTAGTATGCTGTGAATGGGAGGAAGAGTCTGGGCCTGGCTCTGTAGGCCAGCTCTAAGAATTCCTTTCTCTCTACTCCCTGGACCTGGCCCATTCTCCTTCCAGAGACCCCAGTTGCCCAAGCTCCCCAAGGCCAGCAACTGCCCTGAGCCACTGCTCACAATTCTTTTTGCAATAGAAAAAGAGGCAGGATTCATTTTAGCCTGTGTGGTGCTGAGGAGCTCAACATTGTACATTGTGCATGAGCTGGGTATGGGGATGGATATCACCAGAAATGTAGGGTGGGGAAACAGGTATCATTTTAATAACTATATAAATATAACTAATATGATAGACTTGAAAAAAAGAAAACCTAGTATAAATTGCACAATGCTTGACAAAATAATCTCAACACATGGAAACATCAGAAAGCAGCCAACTCTTTCTCAGCCACTATTAAGAACACTTAAGGAGAGGGGCATGGGGAGAATGGAGGAACTTTGGACAAAGGGGAGGAAGGGGTAGGGAGAGGGCATGGGGGCAGGAAAGATGGTAGAATGAGATGAACATCATTACCCTAGGTACATGTATGACTGCACATATGGTGCGACACATTGTGTACAATCAGAGAAATGAAAAGTTATGTTCCATATGTGTACAATGAAACAAAATGCATTCTGCTGTCAAGTATAACTAATTAGAACAAAATTTTAAAAAGAACATTTAAAGGGGTCCACTCTAGAGTGTGGTAAGATCTTATATATCTACCAAAAAATGATGTTCATTTTAAAAGGTGGTGATGTCTATTCTTATTCATAATGTGGGGTTAGCACTAGAGACTCTGCTATGCTACTATCAGTGAGTGGAGAGAGTATTGAGGAGGAGGCAGCAATTCAGTTCTTCCCAGGCAGATGCAAGGTCAGGCCAGACAGTGCAACTGATTCATGAAGGAATGAGCTCCCAGCAGATAGGACTTTTTCAGCCATGTTTCACACAATATGGCTAATAGTCCTCATAGCAACTCTCATACTCCTCCCGCAGCCAGGATTCCTTGCTGATATTCCTGAAATCTCTGCCTCACATCTTTTTTTTTTTTTTTTCTGCCTCACATCTTTACTCTCCTGAGTACAGGGAACAAAATACCTGGGGCTCCTCCCAGCTAGTCCTGTGTTAGTCCATAAAACAATCCTTTTCTCTGTTATTCAATGTAAACATAAAAACAGTCATATACTCTGGTAACTTCATGAAATATTTATTTGTATGCTGTTTGCTAATTATTCTCCCTACCTTCAATTACAAGAAGGTAGCTTAGCTCCATTGCTGAGTCTCACAGAGTGAGAGCAGGAATAGCAACAGATGAACCCATTGTCCTAGGCACCTGGTCTCAGCAAGCTTTCCAGGGCATCAGTTACACTCAGCACAAAGGTGACAGAACTCTAGCATTTCCAGAAATGCAGACTCATATAACCTTCATGAGAAGGTTCTATCATTAAGACAAAATACCTGACATATGAATTTGAAAAGAAGTTTATTTTGGCTCACAGTTTTAGAGTTTTCAGTCTATGATCACTTAGTCCTGTCATTTTGGGCTTGTGGTGGCACAGAACCTCACAGCAGGAGCCTGTTCACTTTACAACAGATAGGAAATAAAAAATAAAGACAAGAAGGGGTGGGGTCCCAATATCCCCTTCAATGGCACAGTCCCAGTGACTGGAACTCCTTCCACTGGGTCCAACCTCTTAAAGACTCAGCATCTCTCAATAATGCCAAGCTGAGGACTGCACTTTAACACATGGGGGAAATCCAGGTGAAAACTACAGCAAACTGCATACATTAGTCCCAACAATGACCACATATCACTCTTCCTCATCTATCTTTCCCTACAGTGGAATTCCTGACTATTAATTTTAAAAACACTTAACAGTTTCCATGTCAAACTTCAGTTTCAGTGCTGGAGAATTTTTTAAATGTCTCAGTGTCCTGAAGATAAGCTGATCATCAACTTTTTCCAGATCGTGAGTATATGGGTGCGGCCCAGCTGTGTACTTGCAGGTGTTTTAACAACTGGCTTGTGGGGTGAGGGAGGGTGAGGAGAGTCCTGATTTATAGTATGTGCACATTTTTGTGGTATAAATGGAAATTCCAAACTAGTATTCTGGTATCATTGAATGTAGAGGTGAGAAGAGACATGCACACCATTAAGCAGTATTTTCAGCACATTGGTGCAATGGAACTAAATGACCTTCAGAGCTCAGACAACAGCAAAATGTAGGCTATGAATTGATGGTGTTTTGATTCTTTTTTGTTTGGAGTAAGCTAATTTAGTTATATTTTTCTGTAAGTTAATTTTTAATAATAGTTTTGTTCAACAAACAGCTCATAAAATTACTGAAACTTTAACAGTTGGCTCTCATAAGCCAACACAGGCCAGCCCCCAACACACCAATGGTTAAGCCACATTTATGTAAAGCTGGTGCCCTTTACTCACTTAATTCCTAGTGCATCACTTGTCCTACCCTTGACTTGATTTATCACTGAGAGACAAATGTCTACGGACAGCCAAACTTATGAATAGACCTGTCCTTTCCAGGGTTGATGAAATGACCTAGGGAACTAATTGTCCTAAAAAGTCTAAAAAAGCCCCTGCAGATGTGTCTAACCAGATCTGTGCATACTACACTACTGGCAGAGCTATAAAGCCATTGAAGCTCATCTGGAGAAGCCATATCAAATTTTTATTTCACATTTATGCAAAAGCCTGAGAGAAGCTTTGCTGATAGAATCCTTATGTTGACTTCACTGACTAGAAAACTCTGGACATTGACAAGCATTCTGAATCTTCCCACAGAAAATGCTGAGGTGAATCCGTTGGAACACCCTGAGTTTTACCCTTGAGAACCACTGGTGCAAATTTATCTCTGGCCTGCTGCTTGGTGAAACATTGCTTCTAAGTCTATTTCCCACTCATTCTGCCTCTCTCTGGGATTATGTGATAACTTATAGTTAAATTATAGGCAATAACATATTGTACACAATTCCTGATTATTTTCAGCTGAAAAAAAAATTCTTTCAAAAAATCCACTCTGTAGGTTTGCTTCAAAATGACCTACAGGGGTGGCTGGAACAGTGAGAGGGATAGAGATAAAATAAGCTTAGTTATTTATGCATAATTATTGAAACTGTGTGGAAGGCATGGGAAGGGTTCCCTTACTTTTTGTATATGTGTGAAACTTTCCACATATAGAAAAAATAAGGGAGGAGGAGAAAGCCCACATGATCAATGACTTACTTCAGAGATGGTGGAAAATATGTGTGTGTTTCAATATGTGTGTGCACAGTTAATAGCTTAACTGTTTTCGAATTATAAAGGTCTCCTGCAGCTTCACAGACATGTAGGTCCCACACCCTCAAGAGCTGTTGGTTTAATGGTATGCTGTCAGCATCTTGAAATTCTTGATAATTTTTTAACAAAGGACCCCAATCTTCACATTGCTCTGAGTCCCACAAATGATGTTGCCAGTCCTGCATAGATCTTGTCTTTCAGTCCCCTTAGGAGTATCCTCATCTAATATTTTAAAATTTGACTTCTGAAACCAGGTTTGAGTAATTCTCAAAGTCTGGCCACTGACTCCAAGTATGTAGCTTCCTCACTTTTTTACACTCTTTGCTACTTGACAAGTAGATTAACAAAAAATTTTTCTTTCTCCTCTTATTTTCAGTATTATAATGATAAAATAGTGAACTACAATACTTGGCCCCAGCACAGCACAGGCAGCCTCTGCCTTTGATTACAGGCAAAGAATCAGGATCCTTATATCTGACAGTTGCTGGTGAGTACAGTCACAATAATGTAACTTCTGTACAACTGGCTTACAGATCTAGTCACCATGAAGGTCCTCATCATGTGCCTCTGATTGAGTTTCCATAAGTGGAAAGCATACATTTGACTCTATCATGGATTGAATCAACAATGACTTATAGCACTGCTTTCTTGGAAAGAATTGGGAAGTAAGCAAAAACACTCCATTCCAGTCTACATTCCTGATGTACTACCAGTTTTTTATGTCTCAAAAATGTTTGCCAGATGCTATTGGCATGGTGAAGAAAAGGAGAGTTGATAACCATATGTGTTGAAAGAGAGACAAAGAGAGGGAGGGAGGGAGAAAAGAGTGTATGCTAGTTAGAATTTGATTGTAAGCAGTCTACTGGAAATGTCCCTTCTACTTTCTGACTACTTCTGCCTTTCCAGGGTAACCTTGTGGAATAGGAATTGATAGTGAAATTGTGAAGAACTTAATTCTAGCTCCTTTTAATCTCTATGAAATTCTGCCTTATCCACTTTTTGGTCTCTGTGCTCTTGGATGTAACCAGCTTTTAACCAGTTTTTGTTTTGGAGATGGGAAATTGAGCCCAGGGATGCTTAACTACTGAGACACATCCCCAGCCCTTTTAAAATTTTATTTAGAAACAGCGTCTTGCTTAGGGCCTCACTAAGTTGCTGAGGCTGGCTTTGAACTCATGATCCTCATGCCTCATCCTCCTGAGCCACTGTGATTACAGGCATGCAACACTGAGCCCAGCTATAGCCAGCTTCTTTACTCTCAGCTCCAGTCCAACCCACATGCCTCCCTGGATATGACTTCCTAAAATAGTTGCAATCCTTTTACTCTCCAGTTCAAACTCTTCACTGGTCCTCTGGTCCTCAGCTTGGCATTCAAGACTCTCCCCCAGTGGCACTCACTTTATATCCAGTCCTCCCAACCTTATATTCCAGGAGTATCACAATCTTCCAATAGTAACAACCAAAACCAATTCCAGACATTGCCAAATACCTGCTGGAGGGGAAAATCATCCCCAGGTGAGAACAATTGTAGCATCCCATTCCAAATGCCACTTTTATAAAAATTTTTCTTGATATTCTTTTTTCATCCCCTTGCCCTCAATATTTCATTTTTATCTTAATCTCCCTTATGTGATTGAATCCATATTCTGCTTTACTATTCTTCTGAACAAGTGTTTCCTTTTGTTCCTTTTTACAGCATCTTGCTCTCATTGAGAGACAACAGAGTATAATTTCAAAAGAAATCAAAACAAGAAAATACCTTAGACTCTGAAGTTGCTATTTGATCATGCATTAGAGTCTTGGAGCTGTCACTTATTTGCTGTGTCATCTTGGAGGGAAATTTTAATGTCTTTTATTCTTCCTTCATTTGTTAAAAGGGGGATAAACTGTTAAAGTGAAGATGAAGAAATTAGGCAACCATTTTTAGAACATCACCCTGCAGAAGCTGGTGCCTAAAAAGGGTTTGAGCAACCAATGTCTCCCTAATCTCTGGGAAAATGGCACTCATTCCTGAGTTCCTGATACCAGTGCATGGGAGGGACCAATGTGTATACACAGGTCAGGGTGACGAAGCAGTGGGTAGAAGGTGACAGCAGCTGGCCTCAAGCAGCTGAGGGGATCTGTAGCGCTGATAGACTCCACCTCCTTCCAATCACCTTCCTGGTCACTTTTGCAGAAGGTGTGACCCTGGAATGCATCCAGTACACATTATCACCAATCACAGAGAATTTGGGAGTCATGAGAAATATCTGCTGTGAAATCAAGATAAACTAAATTAATAACATATAACTTCACAGAATCTCATTTTCTCTGTAAGATAGGGTTAATATATGCCTCACAATGTTAACAAACTGTAAAGTGTCGGGTAAACAAATTAAATATTTATTATAGTATTAACAGAATTTAAACCCTAAAAGGAAGCAGAAGCTTAATGCTTAATGACTACTCTTTACAAGAGCCTACCACATGCGAGACGTTGTGCTGTGTTCCCCTGCACTGCTCCATTTACTCCTGAACGGAGATCAGCCTCATTCTACAAACAAGGGCACTCAGGCTCAGAGAGGGAAAATCTCTTACAGAGGTCATACAACCAGAACCAGCAGAGCTGAAATCTGAATAATGCCCTTTCTGTTGTAACTTAGTGCCAGGAAAAGTCCTCATAGTGGGGATGGAACTAGTGGAGGAATCTACACTGGAACAACTTATGCTCCTTCAATTTTTTTCCTTCTCTCCAGCTAGTCTGGCTCCAAATCAGCACAAATTACAGAGAGAAAGCTCTCCTTGTCACAGACTTCCAGAAGATTCTGGGTGCAGAATGACCAGTGGTCTCAGTCTACACTCCTAGAAGGTCAGGAAGGGATTCCATTGAGCAAGTTATAGGAGGCAAATGAAGTAGGAGTTCCTCTATTAAACTTGTCCTGGTTTCTCTAAATTTCAGATGATTATGTAATATCCATATGTGTGTATCATGCTAATTAAGGTCTGAAGCCCTCTCCCAGATCCCAGCCACTATACCCAACACCCATACCCATCTTTCCAAGCTCATTCTTATGTTATCACTATTTTAATTCGTCCATCTTAGGCATGAGTCTCTCTGAGAAGAGATATTTGAACTATTCATTCACCTATGATTAATTTTAACTATTCATTGCTGTCAAATGTGATAATTTGTATTCACTAGATGTATATCTATTTTAAAGGGCTTTATGTCATATAACTGAGAGCTGCTTGAAATGATGAAAAATTAGATGTGTGGTAATGTACACTGTTTACAGTCCATCTTTCCATCAATGGTCATTTCCATAGAGAGGAGCTCTGATATCTCTGATATTTCCATTTAACAGCCTAACTAAATCCCTGCATTATTCAAGTTTCAACAAAGATTTAGTTAATTGTTTATGTGTTATTTGTCATGAAAGTTAGAAATCAAAGAATGTTTCTCTACTTAATAAAACTGCAAAGAAAATTTAAAAAAGAAAAACTCCCTAAATGATAGGACTTGGGGGCCATTTGGATTGGTGAACACATTTATGTGTGGGGAAAGTGGCATAATCAGAGAGAGAATGAAAGAATGGAAGCTCTGAGTGGCCACCCCAGACCCTGCCCTATGTCTCTTCCATTGGGTGTTCCCTGAGTTATATCCTTTATAATTAACTGGTCATTCACTTCCTGAATTCTTTGAGTCATTCTAGAAAATCATCAAAACTGTGAGGTGACCTAAGGAACAGAAAGTGAGGCTGTTTCTGTGGGGAAAAAAACTTACCTGACAAAAGGTATGCATACTGACCCTGAGATAAGTAAAATTCTAAGACTAACCCTAAAAAGACTTATCCATATACCATCCATCCCTGTGGTGTTGGTGGAAGCAGCAAATATGACATTACTTTCATTATTATGTGAGGGAAAGATTATTTGTGGGGCTTAATGTGATCACAAGAACCCTTTCAAAGCAGACAGTTCTCAAGATGATGGCAAAAGGAGAAATTGAAGATTAGCGGCTGGGGTTGTGGCTCTATGGTAGTGAACTAATTTGGCATGTGTGAGGCATTGGGTTCAATCCTCAGCACCACATAAAAATAAATAAATAAAATAAAGGTATTGTGTCCATCTACAACTAAAAAATTTTTAAAAATAAATCAAAGATTAAAATTTTCTAACTTTGAAGATGAAAAGGTCAAAGGAGAAGCAATATGAATGGTCTCCAAAGGCTGAGAGAAACCTGAGGCTATCAGTCAGCAAAATGCACAAACAAAAACAAAAAAATAGGGACTTAGGCCTACAGCTCCAAGGACATAAATTCTGCCAACAATCTGAATGATTTTAGAAGTGGATTCTTCTCCCTAGCCATGCATGGTGGTGTATGCCTATGATGCCAGACTCTGAAGTCTGAGATAGGAGAGTCCCAAACTCAGAATTGGCAATTTAGCAAAACACTGACTCGAAATAAAAAAGGGGCTCAGATTTAGCTCAGTGGCAGAACACCCCTGGTTTCAATAGCAATAAAGAAAGAAAGAAAGGAAGAAAGGAAGGAAGGAAGGAAAGAAGGAAGGAAGGAAAGAAAGAAAGAAAAAGTAGATTCTTCCCCAGAATCTTTAGGTAAGAATCCAGTCAGACCTGAAGACATCTTAATTTTGGCTTCTGACTCATTAGCCAGAGAATCCAGATGTGTCTTAGAACTAGGAAAAAAGTGAGCATTGTTTTAATCTGCTAATTTTTTGGTAATTTGTAACACAATGATAGAAAAATTATTACACACCTACCACCTTGATGGCATCTGGATGTGATGCCTGAGATTAGGCTGCCACCTTGTGACTATGAACAAAAAGAACAAGGGAAGGAGCAAAAGAGTTTCAGAAAGTTGTCTGACATTGAGATGTCTGACCCTTTGTAAGAAACTGGCTACCTTCAGACTTACAATGTGAGAGAACAAACCCTTATTGTGATTACATGAATCCTTTCAAAGGACTGGTACCCATTATTTGTAGGAGATCACTTCTATCTAGTACAGGAATTCATTTGTTTTGAGACTGGTTTTCTGACAAGATCTCTATTCTAGTCTCAATTTAAACTGAGTAAAGAAATGTTTGGGTTGAATAATTTTACTCATTTTTTTTAATTTCATTTTTTAAAAATTTTCCTATGTGACGTTTTAAGAAATATATGAGCTGTTACTTTTTCCTGATTCTTTCCATAGATAGTATTTTTCTTTCTTTAAACTTTTAAGAGTTTCTCTTTGTATCTTGTAGTGGGAAATCATATCACTAAAAATATAATATATAAAGGTTTTCATCTGCTTCTAGTTTCTAGGGCCACAGTGATACTTCTATCCATTTTGGCTTTTCAGATCAGAGGCTTTTCTAAAATGTCTGGTTATCCTTGACCAGCTATTCACATTAGATGTCCTAAATTGGCCCCCAGACATGTGTGGGCTCATCAGGAACTAATGTTTCATTTTAGCATATTCAGGTACCCAAACCTATAGGATCTTTCCTCTGGAACCATCCAGTTTCTCCAGGAAAGAATGTACTGATCTCTTGCCTAAGTGTATAGGAGTTGTTAGAATTTGACTATCAGTATTCAAGGAGCTGTGAAGAGAATGGAACCAGGAGATCATCCCATTTAATATTCAGACAATTTAATATTCAGGCAATTCAATCATCCCTTCATTCAGAAAAAAATAAGAATTATTAAGTTACTATGATGTGAAAGCATGCTGCCAGGTACTGGAGCTACAGCAGTGATTGAGACAGTGTCCTTGCTTTCCAGGGGTTTAGACTCAGAAGGGAAGACAAATATTAAACAAATAATTACAGTAGTGATACATATGTCTATTCTAGAACCAATATTCAATGGCACATATAACAAAGTTGCGGGAAGCCATCCATGAATGACTTGAGGATCTTCACTCAGTATGGCAGCCAGGAAGATTTAGGTTTAGCATTGCAAATTATCCATGGCTCTCCCAGGACAATAGATTGCCCAATGTACCTGCCCTTTATCTCTACTCTACTAGGAAAATCCCTCATAGTAGCTATGGATTTGGGCATAACCTGTCAGAAATTGAACAGCCCCAACTTTAATCTTTTTTTGGTGAAGAACAGTCTATGGAAGGCCTTTGATGTTTCCCGATACAAAAAAAGCAGGCAAGGGCTCCAATTTGCCAGAGTCTAGAAGCTCAATCCATCTGATCCGCTTGCCTGTCCTGCCCCCGCTTTTGAAACTACTTTCTGTGTCCAGTGGTGTTTTCATCATTCTATTTTTCCTAGCTTTAATTTCTCAGCCAGCCCATTCTACCAAGGGAAACACCATTTCCACTGCCCGCATGGGCCTCAGGTGAGACAAAGTGGTTCAAGAGAACTGGGAAGAGAAGAAGCAGGAGATGGGAGTTAAGAGGAGTTCTGCCACACCCTCCCTCCACTCACTCCAGAATTCCAGCTTTATACCAGGTAGACACCTCACTGCACTCATATTCTCAGCTTGGCTACCTCCTTGACAGAAGTTACAGATCAAGATATGGCTTTCAATTATCCCTTGCTGATCCCTTTATTCTCCCCCTTTCTGTGTAAACTCTCCTCAGTTACCTATTTTGAGTTTTCAATTTGCTTCCTGCCAAAACTATGACTGAAATAGGTCTATATGAAAAGACTATTTACACTAGTAAGTGGGGATAATTAAAAAAAAAAAAAAGTGGAGCATCCAGGTTTCAGCAACAGTGTAAATCTTTACTATCCCAAGGCAGAAGGGGTCAGTAAAAGGAAAACATGTTACTATAGGCTGGTTGAAAACACCACTGTGGCAAGAAAGAATTAAAAAAATAGTCCTCTTTCTCCATTTCCTTCCCTTTCTCCCCTCCAATCTTCCATTGGTTAAATTCAATATGAAGAAAATCCCAACCAGTACTCAAGTAATGAAGTCAACAGAGATGAGCCTCCTGGGGTACAAATCAGGGCAAGAAAGGCTGATTTAGAGAATCAAATAGAAAATAAGCAGCCCACCACACCTCATAGTAAAAAATACTTAAAAGAGACATTTTTAAAAAATTTATTACGAAGAATATATGTATTTTGGTAATACTTTTTTCTTTTTTAAGATAGGGCAGATAGCCCCAACATAAAAAATACTCACTAGGCTTCACTAGTGGAAATTTCTTTGAATTATTAAGGGTCAACTTGCCTAGACAGGCCACATGAGGACCTCAGAGCACAACCCATTGTGAGGAATCATAGGTTGTTCCTGAGGTTCTAGAATTCCCAGAAGCTCTGATTCAGTATTGGGAGCTTCTGCTCACAGTTTCTTTACAGCTCTTGGGTGCCCCACACTAGAGGCCCTTCTTTTTCTAAATCCAGATGAACCAGTTAATCTTACTAATGAGTTTTCATCTGCTTGGATCTGTTAGAGGTGAGTCTTCTCTGTTGGCTTGGGTATGTAAGGGGCCACCTTTAAGGCGTTTTTGCCCTTGAAGAAGTAAGACCAGTCTCCTAGTTACCCAAATCAGAATTAAGAGTAATTAGACAGACTGTCTCTGAGAGCTCTTGAACCAGCTGATTTCTCCTAGTTATGGCTTTATAGTCAGAGGGCATGTTCCTATTCCTATTCCACTTAGCCATTCAACATTTGTACCTGATGTTCTGTGAGACAGGAGAACAGGCCTAGGAGCTCAGTAGAAGTTCAGCAAAGGTTTGTTCCCATCAATTGAGTGCAAGGGATCCTTGTATACTTAAGGTGCCAAGCAAAGCTATAATGAGATAGGAAGGTGATGTGCCCAGAACACTATCTCAGAGCACACAGGGCTTTGGGCCAGAAACCTTATAAACCTTTCCTTCATGGCTATGTTCATCCATCCAGTTTCTGTATTTTCTCTTTCAGGATTCCCTATTTATGGAGGGCTGCCTCCTACAAGAGAGAGATTTATGAGCTCTGTGCTGTTTGTGAAGTGACAGAGTGTTTCTCTAATACTAGCTTTCAGAAATTTTGCTTTTTGCCTTTTAGACTTTCACAAAGTTGACTCAGAAACAAAGATACCCAGCCACTAGATGGTAGTTATGTGCTAGTCACATAGTGAAGTAATAAACTATAAACTCTAAGAATGATTTAAAAATTAGCATATTTTCCAAACCTGTTTCCTATATCAGAAGCATCTCTTATTTAAAAATTTTGTTAAGTATTAAAGAATCAGCTGGGCAGATATTTATGTAACAAATTTTTAAAACAAAAATCTACCAAAAGCCTTATCAAATCAAATCTTACCTTTTTTTTGTTTTTATTTTTGGGTACTGGGGATTGAACTCAGGGACACTTGGCCACTGAACCATGTCCTCAGCCCTATTTTGTATTCAGTGCCTCGCTTTTGCTGAGGCTGGCTTTAAACTTGGGATCCTCTTGCCTCAGCCTCCCGAGCTGCTGGGATTACAGGCGTGTGCCACCGTGCCTGGCTCCTTCAGGTGCTTTTGATGCACGGATGAGTGAATCCCCCCACCCCCATGGAGTTCTTAATATACCTTAAAATTTTTTCCTTTAATCCCAGAGGAGGTTTCTGTGTTTTTATTAAATACCAATTTTTTCCTTTAATCCCAGAGGAGGTTTCTGTGTTTTTATTAAATACCTCCATCCTCCCTGGTCTCTTGGGGTAGTTAGTTGACCTCCCCCCAACACCTGCACTATCTTCAAGTAACTGATTTAGACCTATAAGAAACTTAGGAGTCTCCATTTGTCTCAAAACATGGAAAAGTAAAACATGGAAAGTGGGGTAACTCTCACCTTCTTCATTTCTCTTCTGTTTCTTCTCCATCCCAGGAGCACCAGATCAGCCTGATGAGCCCCTGGGCTCAATGGATCATCAAGCTCCAGTTCAGCAACTTTCAAGTGAATACTTTTCACTTGCAAACCCTTCAGATGTTGATGCTTTATATGATACTTCTTCAGGTGAGACTGTTTTAAGTGAGCATGGTTCTAGCGAGCATAGTGAAGGGGAGCACACTTCTGGTGAACATGTTGAGAGCGAGCATGCAAGTGAACATGTAAGCGAGCACACTTCAGGTGAACAGCCTTCAGGTGAAAAGTCATCAGGTGAACATGCTTCCAGTGAACAGCCTTCAGGTGAACATGCTTCCGGTGAACAGCCTTCAGGTGAACAGCCTTCAGGTGAACATGCTTCAGTTGAACACACAAGTGAACAGCCTTCAGGAGAACAACCTGCAGGAGAACAACCTGTAGGAGAACAGCCTTCGGGAGAGCAGCCTTCAGGAGAACAGCCTTCGGGAGAGCAGCCTTCAGGAGAACAGCCTTCGGGAGAACAGCCTTCGGGAGAACAGCCTTCAGGAGAACAGCCTTCGGGAGAACAGCCTTCAGGAGAACATGGTTCAGGTGAACAGGTTTCACGTGAACATATTTCCAGCGAACAGATGACACGTGAACATATTGCCACTGAGCACACTTCAGGTGAAGCACCTTCAGGTGAAGTGTCTGCAGGTGAAAAGTCCTCAGGTGAACCGTCTTCAGCTGAACAGCTTTCAAGTACACCATTTGCAAGCACATCTCCAGGTGAGCCAAAGTAGCTTCAAGTGGAGAGTGGTGAACACATCAGGAGAACCCAATTTTAGGGAAGAAGCATTAAAGAAGTGACCAATAACACTTCACAAATAGCTCTCCCAAAGGTTTTCTAGGTCTCTGCACAATAACAAAAGGCTATTCCAGGTTTATGGGGCCCTGAAAGCCACACAATTTGCAGGACCCTCTTTAAGAACAATTATACAAATACAAAATGCCAGTTGCCCTTCCAATTACATTCTTCGTAAGATATTCTGAATATAAATGCCCAATGACTCCCCTAGAAGCAGCTCATGAAAATGCAAAGTTCTGAAGACTAACAGAATATGAAGCATGCAGAGACAAAAATTAGTTCTGTTAGAGACAAAAATTAGTTCCCAGAACTGCAATTCTGTGACTTACTTAAAAGGGGTTGGTCAAGGAAGGAAAATAAGACCCTAAGTTTGATGCCTCAAGTTAATAACAGACATAAGATGCTTCATATTTCACCCCATTGCATAAGCATTATTATTCTAAACTTTTAGATGGGAGAAGCAAGGCAAAAATAATATGCCCAATGTTACATGGCTAGAAATTGGCAATGGTGGATTCAAACTTAAGCCTATCTACAACTCAGGAGGGCCAGGTAGGAGGATCCCCAGGTTGAGGCCAGCTGGGACAACTTAGCAAGAGTACTCTATCTCAAAATAAAATAAAAAGGGCTGGAGATAATTAGTTCAGTGGTTGAGGGTCCCTGAATTCAACCTCCATATTGTAAATACACACACACTTTAGATCTGTTTAAAGCACAATTTTTTTTTTTGCCCCTTTCCTTACTTTATGCTTCCTGAACTAGGAGATTATAAACAGAGACAATGAAAAGAGGTAACATGGAAATATTTCAGCAACGTTTAACAAGGTCAATTTGAGAGGATGGGGTTGTAACAATGGGTTTGATCTTCAGCAACACATAAAATAAATAAGTAAAAGTTATTGTGTCCATTTATAGCTAAAAAATATTTTAAAATAAATTTAAAAAGAAAAGAAGAACAAGGCCAATTTGAAAATGGAAAATAATGTAGACTCTTTACAAGGTTTGCAACAATACTCTAAAATAGCTTATTAGTTGGTCAAATTTGAATCCAAATGTTTGTGCTTTGTAAGAATATGACATGAAGCAGGAAAGGGAGCCAGTCACATGACAACATGCTCCTATCAGGTAAGACATGACAAAAAGGCATCTAATTATAAATATCTAGGAAGCCAATAAGGATATGGACTATACTATTAGTCAGTATTAGATAAACTTGGGATTCATCAGCAATGAAGGTCATAGATGAAGCAATATAAATGAAAGGAATTTCCTCTAGAATAGAGAATATCCTCTATCAAATACAAATCCCTCAGATCCCAACAAGAATTAAGAAATTAATTTTGTATTCAGGCTACTTATAACTCATCGTCTCTCCCCAGATGTGTGACTCACATAAACACATCTGATCCGTATGGGAATTTCATCAGGCTTATCTTAAAATTTCAGGCACAATGTTAAGTTGCTACACATGCGCTTATATGACTGAGAAAGGAAAATGCCTTCGTGGTGAAGGAGTCTGCACCACTCAGAATTCCCAGCAGTGCATGCTAAAGAAGATCTTTGAAGGTATGTAGGGACCTCTTTGACAGTCTTTGCCAGAGAATACATTAACCAACTTATATACTAATACAGGGCAGTTGGAGAGGGCAGTGGTCTAGGTGAAGGATCAGGAACTTGGAGATTCAGAAGAACCTCATGCTTTTAAGGATTAAGAATAGAATCCCAAGTACTGATGGGGAGGTAGAGACTCTTCCCAACAAGTCTTAATGATCTTAAAAAGGAGGCAGGGAGATTGGCTCTCTATTTTAAAGAAATGTTGTGTGTTGCCCTTTAGACCACTGAGACATTGACTGTAAGCTCAGGACTATGGTTTGTTTTTTTTCATGGCTTATGTTCCTTGAACCTAGTACAATGTTCAGCACATGGCAGGCATTTAGCGAATACTATATGAATAAACTTAATAAACATTTGTCTACAAATCTACATCCACAGGTTGCCAAAACTTAAATATATTCCCACATCTCTCTACCCTTATACTCACTCCTCATCCCCAAAATGAGATCTTGGATACTTCCATCCCACGATCATTGCCTAACTCTGTCAGTTGTCTGGTCTCTCATTAGAAATACCATTTTGCCCTCAATTCTACAATGTGTGCATTCATCCACCATCACTTAAGAAACATTAATGACACATACCATGGGTCCTTACAGAAAAATGAATCAAATATAGACTATGTACAAATAGATTATGGTCCAATGTAAGAAACAGGAAACAATATTGCAAAGGAACAATTGGTAAATATCTTAAGGCAGAAAAGCACTGGGTGCCCACAGGGGAAGGAGAGATTAGAGGTGCAGAGAAATTAGGGAGAAAGTAGTTTTCAGAAAAAGCTTGTAAGATGTGGGCCAGTGAAGTGACTGCTAATGGGAATGGAATGTCTTTTGGGGGTGATAAAAATATTCTAAAATTAGTGATGATGCTTGAATTCTGTGAATATACTAAACAATATTGTGTTATTCATTTTAAAAGGATAAATTTATGGCACATGCATTATACTTCATCTTTACATAGTTACTTTTTGTGTTGCTCTAAGAGCACCTGAAATCTATACAGCCTTAGCAAATTTCTAGTACATACTATCATATTTTTCTAATTAATTAACTAGGTATATAACAGCAGAATACATTTTGATTCATTATACACAATTGCAGCAAAACTTTTCATTTCCCTGGTTATACACGATGTAGTGTCGCACCATATGTGCAGTCATACATGTACCTAGGGTAATGATATCCATCTCATTCCACCATCTTTCCTACGCCCATTCCCCCTCCCTCCCCTTTGCCCAATCAAAGTTCCTCCATTTTCCCCATTCCACCCATCTCCCTTGTTATGGATCAGTATCCCACTTATCAGAGAGAACATTCAGCCTTTGGTTTTTGGAGATTGGGTTACTTCGCTTAGCATGATATTCTCCAACTCTACTCATTTACCTGCAAATGCCATAATTGTAATCTCTTTTAATGCTGAGTAATATTCCATCGGTATATATACCACAGTTTCTTTACCCATTCATTTATTGAAGGACATCTAGGTTGCATACTACAATATTAACTACAGTCAGCATATTGTATATTAGCTCTGTAGACTTATTCACTAACATAACTTCAACTTTTTACACTTTGATCTATTATCTCCCCTTTTCTACCTCAAGTCCCAACACTCCCACTCCTTGTTCCTGGTAACCACTATTCAACTCTTGGCATCTATGTATTCAACTTTTTGGTTTTTTTGCATAAACAAATGAGATTATGCAGTTCAAAAAGAGAGAGAAAGAAGTCATCAGGACTATGTAAATGCAGAGGGGTCAAGTCCTGAGAAGTGCAGCAGAATGACTAGAACTCAAGTACCCTTTCAGAATAGTGGAGTAATGAATCAGAGTGTCTTGGGGCCAGATATAAGCAGGATTAGGTTGACGATAGTCAACTCTCTGAGAAGTTTGTGGGGAAATGATAGTATAGGAGAATAGCATGGTCAAGAGAAAGATTTCTTTGTTTTATCTCTTTGAGTTGGGGGAACTTGAGCATGTTTGTAAACCAGAAAGGTAATCAGGAGAGAGGAACAAACTGAAAATACAAGGAGTGTGCAACTGATGGTGAAAGATCCCAGAGGAGGAAGACAGAAGGGAAAGGGGAGAAAAATACACACACGGGGGTGGTAGCCAGCCCTTCATGAGGGCATCATGAATAAAGGTATGAATAAAGGAAGGGTTTCTGTTAATTCCAGTCTGTCTTTACTCCTTTCAGGTGGAAAACTCCAATTCATGGTTCAAGGGTGTGAGAACATGTGCCCATCTATGAACCTTTTCTCTCATGGAACGAGGATGCAAATTATATGCTGTCGGAATCAACCTTTCTGCAACAAGGTCTAGAAGACTGGGCCTCTGCTTTTTGCTCTGACTCAGGCAGCAAAAAGCCTTTACCATCGTACTTGGCTCAATTTATATTATATCACTATAGCATCAACGACTTATCACATCTGCTTCTGCCTGAGCATCAGACAGGATGCTTCAAATATCTTTCCTATTCATGCCTTACCCATTCTTTGTCCTCTGTCTTCCCCCTTACTCTCTCAATATTCCAATTTTTCTTTTTTCAATAAAACCCTCATGGTAGAGAACATGAAATGCAGACAGATTTCTTTTCCCATCAGTCCAGTTACAGGGTCAGCCTGAACTTCCTTCCACCCCCACTAATGTAGATGATTTTATAACCATTCCATACTTAAGAAAGTGAAGGGCTCTCCCAGGACAGAGAGAGCAAGGAGGAATACAAAGTAAGGTATTAATCTTTTATGGGGCTTAAAGAATATTGTAGGTACTTCTCTGTCCCCCTTCCCCACTTTCCTACCCTTGTCCTCCCCATTTTACTTATAGTACATAGCAGTCAACTTTTCTTTAGCTCTTGAGAATTTTGAGTTTTCAACAGTCCACTTTTAAGAATAAAGTTATTCTTTTCTGTTTGCTGTATAAATATGCAGCAGTTCATAATGCTTACATCAGTTTCTCAACACAATATTACTGGATCATCTACTTAGTATAGAGGGGCAGGTAGAATACTAAACACTGTCACACTCAAGATGTTTTCACATACATGGTCTTATCTTGAGGAAAGATAGCAAAATTCTTATTTTATAAATAAGGAAATATGACATAAAGATGTCCTATTTATACTCCATATTGTCCTAAATTGATGATCAAGTTCACAGAACTAGAATTCACCAAAGCACAATTCTAAAACCAAATCTGCATGATCTTAATCTGAGCCATTTCCTCAGAATATTAGCCAGAATGGTTCTTTTAAAACAAAAATCAATTCTCTCCTCCTACATAAACTCATCTCCTTTCAGCCACTGCTTCCACATACCTCAGTTTAAAGGCTCCTGAGATAGCTGGAGTGGTCTTCGTGTATTTTTTCCTCCCCTTTTTATTGGTACATTATAATTATACATAACAGTGGAATTTGCTATAATATATTCATATGTGCACACAATAAAACAGTACAATTTGATCAAATTCATTTCCACGTACCCCCACTTTCCTACTTCTTCTTCCCCCTGTTTTCCACCTTCTACTCTAACTGGTTTCCCTTCTGTTTTTTTAATTTGTTCTAATTAGTTACACATGACAGGAGAATGCATTTTGACACATTGTACACAATTGGAGCACAATTTTTCATTTCTCTGGCTGTACATGGTGCCAGAGTCACACCAGTAGTGTAATAATCATACATGTAATAAATAATGCCTGGTTCATACTACCATCTTTCCCATCCCCACAGCCCCACCTCTCCCCTCACTCCCCTCTACACAAACTAGAGTTCCTTCATTCTTCCCTACCACCCCGGCCACACACACACACTATGGCATCCGTTTATCAGAGAAAAGATTAGGCCTTTGGTTCTTTGGCATTGATTTTTTTTCATTTAGCATGATGTTCTCTAGTTCCATCCATTTAGCTGCAAAGGCTATAATTTCATTCTTCTTTAAGGCTGAATAATATTCCACTGTTCATAGGTACCACATTTTCTTTATCCATTCTTCTGTTGAAGGTCATTAAGGTTGGTTCTCCAGTTTAGCTATTGTGAATTGAGCTGCTATAAACATTGAGGTGGCTGCATCACTATAGTATGCTGATTTTAAGTCCTTTGGGTATAAATTGGGGAGTGGAATAGCTGGGTCAAATGGTGGTTCCATTTTAAGTTTTCTAAGGAATTTCCATACTGCTTTCCAAAGTGGTTGCACTAATTTGCAGTCCTACCAGCAATGTATGAGTGTACCTTTTTCCCCATATCATCACCAACATTTATTATTACTTGTATTCTTGATGATTGCCATTCTGATAGGAGTGAGATGAAATCTAGAGTAGTTTGATTTGCTTTTCTCTAACAGACGATGAACATTTTTTCCATGTTTGTTGATTGATTGTATTTATTCTTTTGTGAAGTGTCTTTTCAGTTCCTTAGACCATTTATTGATTGGGTTATTTGTGGGATTTTTTTTTTTTTTTTTTTTTTTGGTGTGTTTTGACTTTTTTATGTATCCTGGAGATTAGTGTTCTATCTGATGTGCATGTGGTATGGATTTTTTTCCTGTTCTGTGGGCTCTCTCTTCACATTGTTTTCTTGGCTGAGAAGAAACTTTTTAGTTTGAATCCAATCCCATTTATTCTTAACTTCTTGTGCTTTAGGAGTCTTGTTAAGGAAGTCGGTGCCTAATTTGGCCTGATGAAGATTTGGGCCCACTTTTTCCACTAGTAGACGCAGGGTCTCTGGTCTAATTCCTAGGTCCTTGATCCATTTTGAGTTTTGTGCAGCATGAGAGACAGGGGTTTAGTTTCATTTGCTACATATGGATTTCCAATTTTCCCAGCACCATTTGTTGAAGAGGCTATCTTTTCTCCAATGTATGTTTTTGGTGCCTTTGTCTAGTATGAGATAATTGTATTTATGTGGGTTTGTCTCTGTGTCTTCTATTCTGTACCACTGGTCTACATGTCTATTTTGGTGCCAACACCATGTGGTTTTTGTTACTATTGCTCTGTAGCATATAGTTTAAGGTCTGATATTGTGATGCCTCTTGCTTCACTTTTCTTGCTAACGATTGCTTTGACTATTCTGGGTCTCTTATTTTTTCAAATGAATTTCATGATTGCTTTTTCTAGTTATATGAAGGATGTCATTGCGATTTTAATAGAATTTGCATTAAATCTGTATAACAGTGTTGGTAGTATGGCCATTTTGACAATATTAATTCTGCTTATCTAAGAGCATGGGAGATCTTTCCATCTTCTAAGGTCTTCTTTAAATACTTTCTTTAGTGTTCTGTAGTTTTCACTCCGGAAGTCTTCTATCTTTCTTGTTAGATTGATTCCCAAGTATTTTATTTTTGAGGCTATTGTGATTGGGGTAGTTTTTCTAAATTATCTTTCAGTGGATTCATCACTTACATGTAGAAATGAGTTTGATTTATGGGTATTGATTTTATATTCTGCCACTTTGCTGAATTCATTTATTCCAGAAGTTTTCTGGTGGAATTTTCTGGATCTTCTAAACAAAGAATCATGTCATTGGCAAATAGTGATAGTTTGAGTTCTTCTTTTCCTATTTGTATCCCTTTAGTTTCCTCTGTCTGATTGCTCTGGCTAGAGTTTCAAGGAGTATGTTGAATAGAAGTGGTAAAAGAGGGCATCCCTGTCTTGTTCCAGTTTTTAGAGGGAATGCTTTCAATTTTTCTCCATTTAAAATGATGTTGGCCTTGGACTTAGCATAGATAGGTTTTACAATAGTATGTTCCTACTATCCCTAGTTTTTCTAGTGTTTTGAACATAAAAGAGGTGCTGTATTTTGTCAAATGCTTTTTCTGCATCTATTGAGATAATCATATGATTCTTGTTTTTAAGTCTACTGATGGGATATATTACATCTACTGATTTCCATATGTTGAACCAACCTTGCATCCCAGCAATGAATCCCACTTGATGGTGGAGCACTATCTTTTAAATATGTTTTTGTATGCAATTTGCCAGAATTTTAGTGAGAATTTTTGCGTCTATATTATCAGGGATTTTGGTCTGAAGGTTTCTTTTCTTGATGTGTCTTTGGTTTTGTTATCAGGATGAAGTTTGGAAGGGTTCCCTCCTTTTCTACTCTATGGAATTATTTGAGGAGTATTGGCATTAGTAGTTCTTTGAAGGTCTTGTAGAACTCAACTGAGAATCCATCTGGTCCTGGGCTTTTCTTTGTTGGTTGGCTTTTGGTTGCTTGATATTTATCTGTTTAAATTGTGTATGCCCTCCTGATTCACTTTGGGCAGATCATATGCCTCTAGAAATTTGTCGATGTCTTCGAGATTTTCTATTTTATTGCAGTATAAATTTTCAAAATAGTTTAATTATCTTCTGTATTTTAATAGTGTCCACCATGATATTTCCTTTTTCATCACAAATTTTAGTAATTTGAGTTTTCTCTCTCCTTCTCTTCATTAGCATGGCTAAACATTTATCAATTTTAGTCATTTTTTCAAAGAACCAACTTTTTGCTTTGTCAATTTTTTCAATTGTTTTTTTTCATTTTCATTGATTTCAGCTCTGATTTTAATTATCTCCTGTATTCTACTTCTTTGATATTGATTTGTTATTTTTGTAGGGCTCTGGGATGTAATGCTAGGTCATTTATTTGTTCACTTTTTATTCTTTTAACAAATGAGCTCAATGCAATGAACTTTCCTCTTAGCACTGCCTTCTTAGTTTTCTTGGGGTTTTGGTTTTTTGGTTTTTTTCTTTTCCTTTTGGGAATTTTTTTTTATCTCCTTCCTGATATCTTCTGCTATCTATTGTTCATTCAATAGCATATTATTTAGTCTCCAAATGTTGGAGTAGCTTCTATTTTTTATTTTATCATTGATTTCTAATTTCATCTCATTATGATCTGTTAGAACACAGGGTAGTATCTATTTTTTTTTTTTGTATTTGCCAAGTGTTTCTTTGTGGCATAACATACGGTCTATTTAAGAAAAGGATCCATGTGTTGCTGAGGAGGTGTATTCACTCCATGATGGATGAAATACTCTATATAATGTCCATTAAATATAAATCATTGATTGTGTTATTTAGTTCTATAGTTTATTTGTTTTCTGTTTGGAAGATCTATCTAGCGGTGAGAGGAGTGTTAAAGTCAACTATTATTACTATGTTGTGATCTGATTCTTGAAATTGAGAAGGGTTTGAGGCATGTAGATGCTCCATTGTTTGGGGCATAAATATTTGATTGTTATATCTTATTCATGTATGATTCCCTTAAGCAATATGAAATGTCCTTCTCATCCTTTCTAACTTTGGTTTGAAATCTACTTTGTTTGACATGAGGATGGAAACCTCTGCTTGTTTATGCAGTCCTTGTGAATGGTATGTTTTCCCCCATTCTTTTACCTTTGGTCTATGGATGTCTTTTCCTAGGAGGTGAGTCTCTTGAAGACAGGATATTGTTGATCTGTTTTTTAAAAAATCCAATCTGCCAGTCAATGTCTTTTGATTGATAAACTTAGAACATTAATATTCAGGGTTATTATTATGATTTGTATTGTATTCCCAGTCATTTTGGTTTATTTTTGATCTTCAACTTGACTTAG